CATTTCTTTTATTGGAGAGGTTGTGTTTAGTGCCTAAGGAGAGAAGTGCCACCTGCTGACAAAATCATAAATGACCTAGCTAGCGTTCCAAGTTTTCTTAGAATCTGTTCGTACATCTGTTGGAACCTTCATAACTTCATAGCTGGGTAAAAAGGGAGCCCCAGAAGCATGGGCTGTTTCATCTAAAATAAAGACTATTCCCTATCTAAACCACTCTGAACAATTTGTCGCCTCAAACCAACAGAAGGCAAAGGCCTTTTACCTTTGCCAAATAGTTGCCTCACAAGACTGTTCAGAGGCAAATGACCACATGGCAAGTGAAATGTGAGGCCCAAGTAGGGGAAAAGGCCTCACTGCCAGCTGCTGTTTGGTGTTTGTCAGGCTTCTGCTCCATCCTCAGGACTAACAGAAACAGAGTGACTGCACCAGAACTAGAAAAGACAGCATACCTGATCTATCTGCCAAGAAACCCATTATAAATGCACTTTTGGTGCCAAGGGCTCTTAGACTTAACAGACATGAAGGTAAGCACATGAAGAAGGGATTCTGACAAAAGGATCAAGGGTTAAGTTGACCTCAGTGGAACTTTTGAGTTGGTTGTACACAGAAAAGGCAGTATCATGGTTTCCAGGCACTTAGTGTTCTATACTGTTGCCAAGGTAATGACAAAGTTCAGATTGCAGGAAACGGGGTTAAGATAGGGGAAAGATCACTAGCTTTGGAGTCGGGAGAACTGGATTACAGCACGAACACCGTTGCTCAGTATCAGTGAGATTTCTGCAAAGTCTCTTAACCTTTTTTGGACCTGTTTTATCATCCATAAAATGAAACTATCAATACTTGCCTGGCCAACCACTAAGTTGGTGTCGGGATCAAATGCAATGAATTATGAATTCTAAAAGCACTATAGACATGTTTTCATATTTGTATTGCCTTATCTTTTGGTAAGCTTTATGTGGATAATTAACAAAAATACATCCGAGATAGGCAATTACTCTTTATCTTCTAAGTCCATCTAAACTCAAAAAGCATTTAATACAGTTCCGCTGCAATCAAGCGCTTAGTAGATGTTTCTTGATGAATCTTTCAAAAGTAATGGAACATTACTTACCCAGAACTAATCCCCAGAGGCACTCTTCTTAACCAGAAGAACTTTCACCAGAACAGAGTAGCCTTAGGTTGAGGGATGGTCAATTCAATTAGTGTGAAAGGACAGTAGTTATGAGCACAAGACTGTAGAGCCAGATGACCTGGGTTCCATTTTCATCTCTCACATTCAGTAGCTAAATGATCTTGGACAAGTTACTTTAATTTCTTGGTGCCTTAATTTCCCCATCTGTGAAAAGAGGGTAATAGTACCAACCCCATAGGATTAATGTAAGGATGTTTCTAAAGTACTTTGTAACAGGTACCTGGAACAGAGTAAACACTATACAAGTGTTTTAAAAATGAACTGAGGGGTGCCTGCATGGCTCAGTCGGTTGAGCGTCCAGCTTTGTCTCCAGTCATGATCTCATGGTTCATGAGTTTGAGCCTGGCATCAGGCTCTGCTGTGAGCATGAAGCCCGCTTCGGATTCCCTGTATCCCTCCCTCGGTCCCTCCCCCACTCATGCAAGCATGCTAGCTCTCTGTCAAAAGTAAATAAACTTAAAAAAATAAACAAATTGAACTAGTGTGTCATTTCTTGGTATATATGTGGTCATTTGGTTCCTCATGTACAAAATAATACCAAATTCTTCTCTGTTGTATGCTAGCCTAACTTTTTAAACTTTAAGGCTCAAGATAAAAAAATCTAATCTACATATATACACAGACAAAAGAATGTCATTTTTTTTTTTTACTAAATAATGCTTCAATGTTCTCTTCTGCCTCAGGCTTCCTGCTACACACCCACTTCCTCTAAAAGAAACCAATGATTGCACTAGGACCAGTAAAGACAGCTTACCTGACCTATTTTCCAACTTCTTTCTCTGCCAGGAAACCCATCATGAATGAATGAGCTTTTGATGACAATGGCACTGGGCTTAACAAGCATCGGGATGAAGCAGATGAAGAACAGAATTTGACACAGAACACTGTGGTTAGCAGCTCACAATTGTATTATTTTTTATTCAGCTCAATACATTTCACAGATATTTACTGAGAAATTACTATCCATACACAGAATCAAGATAAGACTTTTCCGTCTTCAAGAATTGACTCATAGGTAAGACAACCACACAATTTTAATACAAAACATATTAAAATATATTCATGACAAAAGAGGTTAAGAAAAAGCAACATCAGAGAAATTAAACAAACCTGGTTGAAAAAAATCTGGAAATATTTCATAAGGCACAGCATTCAATAAATGTTCAAAGAGTGAATGAAACAATTTCATTTTTCCTTTTGTTAGAGTCAGGTTGATTGTTTTTTTTTTTTTTTTTTTTTTACTGTTTTTCTGATTATGAAAATACTATCTGGTCACTGTGGAGGATTTTTAAAACTACAAAAATGTACAAGGAAGAAAAAAAATCCTCTGCAATCTCACCACCTAGCAATAACTTTCTTGTACATATGAAGGGGGGGGGTTGAATCCCAGCTCTGCTACCTTTTATGTACTTCAGTTTCCTCATCTATAAAATAGGGATAATGACAGTACCTACCTCATAGAGTTGTTGTGAGGGTTAACATATGAACACTTAAAACTGTTTTAGGCACAGGGGCACCTGGGTGGCTCAGTCAGTTAAGCATCCAATTCTGGATCTGGGCTCAGGTCATGATCTCATCATTCATGAGATGGAGCCCTGAGTCTGCACTGATAGCTCGGAGACTGCTTGTGATTCTGTCTCTCCCTTCCCTTGCTCACAAGCACTCTCTCTTCCTCTCAAGATAAATAAACTTAAAAAACAAAACAAAACCTGTTTCTGCCACATAATAAATGCTCCAAAATGTTGGCAATTAATTTGTGAAAACACTGCCAAATGCAAGCATACGTGCTTTAAATTTGTTTAATGCAAGCATACATGCTTTAAGTTAAAATAATGACGGCGTTATTTATCAACATTTAAAAATATATACTTATTTTTGAGAGAGAGAGAGGGAGTGCAAGCAGGGGAGAGGCAGAGAGAGAGGGAGACAGAATCCCAAGCAGGCTCTTTGCTGTTAGTGCAGAGCCCTATGTGTGGCTGGAACTCACGAACTGTGAGATCATGACCTAAGCCAAAATCAAGGGTCAGTTGCTTGATCGACTGAGCCACCCAGGTGCCCCTATTTATCAACATTTTGATAACTGGCATTTTATGTTAGTCTGAAATGAGAACACTAGACTATAAAGTGGTCAGACTTAGGGACACCTGAGTGGCTCAGTTGGTTAAGCATCCTACTTCAGCTCAGGTCATGATCTCCTGGTCTGTGAGTTCGAGCCCCACGTCAGGTTCTGTGGTGACAGCTCAGAGCCCAGAGCCTACTTCAGATTCTGTGTCCCTCCTCTCTTTCTGTCCCTCCCCCTCCCCCATTTGTGCTTTCTCTCTCTCTCAAAATAAATACTAAAAAAAAATTTTTTTTTAAATAAAGTTGTCAGATTTAATAACCCTTTTGGGTCCTCCTCAATTGGATTCCACCAGGTGCTTTTTTTTTTTTTAATTTTTATTTTTAAGTAATCTCTACACCCTATGTGGGGCTTCAAGTCGCATGCTCTACCAGCTGAACCAGCCAGCCTGCCTCCCTATAGGTGCTTCTTTATTGGTTTCAAAATAATGTGAGTTTTCAAAATTGAAAGATTCTTTAAATCCTAGATTATTGAACTACCATAAAGGGCCAATATACTAGATAAACTTTAGATAAGCTGTAGATAGTAGGTAACTGGAATAAACCAAACATATTAAAGATTTTGGAGCCACTTGGACTAGGATTAGTATCGGGTCCCCATAGTGCATAGTTGACCAACACCGGTAAAGAAGGATCTATGCAATAATCTACTTACTGAGTTTTAACTACAGGCTAGCATTATCCTATGTGCTAAACTCCAGATATACGCTGAACTAGGACAGGAATCTTTGTAGGACATTTTAATGTTACAAACGCGATGCAACAGTGATAGAAAATATTGTATATATGAGTGGTGTAGCGTCTTGCACCTAGTGGGTCACTAAATAAATGTAGCTGTTAAGTTGTTACGTTAATTTTATTATACATCTCTTTTGAATTTCCCCTCCCAAATTGTCACTTCAGTCTGAGTGACTACTGCCTAGTCTGTACTCAGTAGTGAATAATCAACAATGAAACCTAAATAGTGAGCACTTATGGTGTGCAAAAGCAAATATTAACTGAAGACTCACAAGAACCCTTTGAGGTCAGTATTATTACTGTCTCCATTTTACAAATGAGTAAACTGAAACACAGAAAATGTCAAGTGCCTGAAACTGAGGTCAACAAGTGTGTGGGGTGGAGAGGTTGGGGTTGTGGCTGGGATTCAAATCTAGGCAGCTGGAACCAATACTGCCTCCGAATAAACGAAGTAACTACCAGAAAAGTAACCTACGAGCAGAGCAGAACTCCCTAAGAATGCTCTCCTTTTCACGAATGACAATATATTAGTACGTTTCAAGTGGAATTTAAGAATTTTCAGCGCCCCTGAGAGGATCCTCACGCTCCTAGACGCTAAACACGTGGGACCATGGAAGAGCAATTAAACTGAATCACATGTGGTTTGGATCACGTCATCTGGATCTCAGGAGCGCCGCACTCGAATCCACCAGCTAACCTCAGGAGGCCTTTACGGAGCGTGCTAAGCGCGCCCTGCCCTGCGGCCAGGACCACCAGGATTCCGCGGCGCGGGAGGGACTCGCGCCGGACACCCCATCCCGGCATGCACCACAGGCTCGGCGAGCGCCCGGAAGCGCCGCCTGCCCCGTGCATGCCGGGAGTTGTAGGCTCCCGGCCCGGGCCCGCGGGCTGCCGTCTGCACTCTCCATGAGGCTGCTGGAGCTGGCCCGCGCGGCGCCGACGCGGGGAGCGCGCTTCGCGCTGACTCAGCGGCGACGGAGGCGGCGGCGGCGTTAGCCGGCCCCTCGCGCTCTTTCCCTTCCTGGGGCGCCGACCCCGCCCGCCTGCTTGCTAGGTTGCCGGTCCGGCGCCACGCAAGAGAAGGCGTCAGGGGACGCGGAGCGGCGCGCGGCCCCAGCCAGCTCTGTCTCCGGCATTAGCGCTGCGGCCGTGGCGGAGGACGACGGCGACAAGGACGAGGGCCGCTCTCCCCGCTCCCTGCGTGCGGCGTCGCTCCGCTCCGCTGACCAGCCCTCGGGAGTGCAGGCGGGGAGGCGGGATGGAGTGATAGGGAAGGTGACTCGGAGCTTGGGGACGGCGGGACCCGGATCCACCTCGGTCCGCTCGGGAATGCGGGGAAGTTGCCTGGGCGGACTGGCCCGGGGAGCCCCCACGCCGGGGTTGGGGTGCGGGTCGGGGGCCGTCCAGGGAGGTGCGCCCCAAGGCTGGGCGGACTGGGTGGGGGTGGGTACGAACCGCGGCCGTCGCCGCGGAGCGCGTCCCGAGTGCGTGGCCGCCCGTTGCCCGGTGTTTCATCACCCGAGTTGCCACGAGGCTCCTTTCGGGGAGGGACGGGGTGGGGGAGGAGGGGGCAAGGCCGGCCGAGGAGGGTCGGCTTCATCTGTGGCCCGTGATGTACTAAAGGTGGCCAGCCTCATTTGTAATAGTGTGTCCTGCCAGTTTCAACTGCGGAGACCTCAAACTTGCTTCGCTGCCCACCCCCCAGCCCCAGGACAAAAAGGAGAAAAGTAGTATTTCTGTGTAGTAATTTTGCCAGCACAGACACGCCATTTCTTCTCTTCCCTTCACAGTTCTGCAGGAGTAGACAAGCGTGATGTTTCCCTATAACCAGAAGAAACAAGTACTTTTTGAAAGTGCTAATTAGTTGTTACTGGGGGAAGTTACGTTTTATTAAAGCGACTTGTCAGTGTGGTGGTAAAAGACTGGAAAGATTCAGACCTGGTGTTTGAACAGTCTTTAGTAGGTGTGGAGGAACTTTCCCAGGTTGTTTGATTTTTTTTTTTTTTAATGGCTATCAAGGAAAAGTTAGGGCTCAGTATTTTAAGTATGTTGCTTGCTTCCCTCCACAACATTTGCTAGATGCGTAATTGATATGTTTATCGCATTGTAACAAATGTGTAAGCCTGCACGTCCGTGGCTTGTTAGTTAGAACATTAAGTGTTCATGCACAACCTTTTAATTGAGGGAATGGTTACCTTTTCGCACAGGTTGTAACTTTTCAGTTCTTGGCACACACATATAGGTAATTTACCATTTTATGCTTATTCATGTTCCACTGCATATTGATTTTTATCCAAGTGCCTCTCTGTGGGGGATTCTTTCTGTACCGACAACGGTAACAAGTTTATGTTTCCTTAGGTTATTTATTGGCCGGTTTTTTCTTAAGACCGGTGCTGTTTCGCTTGATAGAACTAAAGCGACCCAGCTTAAGCAGTTTTCCCTAAACTCAAGATGATTTTATAGGACTTTTTAATACGGAATTCACAGAAACTCAGATTTTCTGAGTATGCAGTTTTCCAAGGAATCATTAAATTTTCTTTTCATTTTTGCAGGGGTGAGGGAAGAAAACCTGTGTTTTCCAATCTGTTCACATGCCCATTTTTTAGTATAGGATAAATCTAGACTACTCCAAGTAGTCCCCTTCCTGTGGCAAGCTCTGAATTCTAAATAACCTGTTGAGGGCCCACTATGTGCCAGGCATGCTTTACATGTCTTATCTCATTGAAGTCTTTTTTTTTTTTAATTTTTTTTTCAACGTTTATTTATTTTTGGGACAGAGAGAGACAGAGCATGAACAGGGGAGGGGCAGAGAGAGAGGGAGACACAGAATCGGAAACAGGCTCCAGGCTCTGAGCCATCAGCCCAGAGCCCGACGCGGGGCTCGAACTCACGGACCGCGAGATCGTGACCTGGCTGAAGTCGGACGCTTAACCGACTGCGCCACCCAGGTGCCCCTAAAGTCTTAACAGCTTTATGAGGTAGATGGTCTCTTTCCCACTTCATAGAAAGAGCTGTCTTTTTCAGATTTCCTAGTTGTCCATGTGGCCCTAGTTTGAAAATTACTAGATTGGGGTACAAATCCAGGTATTTCCAAACCCAAAGCCTATGTTCTATGTCTTAGAGGCATAATGGTGAATATTTGAGACAGTTCTTTCCCTTCAAGATTATGGAGAGAAAACAAGGAGGCAGCGACAACATATCAGCACTTAAGAGGGGCGTTTAATCCAGTTTAGGAGAATTGGACAATAGGGATCAAAGAAGTTTTCTGGAAAGAGGTGACATCTAAGCTGAGTTTTGAAGGACAGGCAGGGGTTAACAAAGTAACAAGAAAAGAGCAGTCAGTGCAAAGATGAAAGGCCAAATACCACTGGCCTTGCTGGGTTCAGCTGAAGAATAGTCATTCAAAAGTGTGTGCACCTTAATCCTGAGGGGGGGGGGGTGAGGGGGGCTACACTGCCTTGCTGTAGTCTGCAAGTATCTAGAAATAAGAAAGGGCTGGACTTTACTCTCCAAGGGCTCTCAGCGCATAACCTGATTTGTCGTTTGTTTCAGGCAGGCCCTGGGGAAGACAGAAAAGCATATTGTAGTTGGGGTCCTCTAACCTAGATCAGATCCTGGCCTCACCACTCCCAGAAAGGCTGTGCACCCCCATCCCAGGCCTTTAGTCTCTTGGCTTCTTTAGGCTCTGATTTTCTCTTTGGTTTATGATAATTAAAACACCCCCCCCCCCCAAAAAAAAAGCCCTACAGCCTTTTTATGTGAGCAGTAGTCCTGGTTTTTCTACCTCATAGGTATTGAGAGGATAAATGTGATTTTCACATCATTTAGAATTTGTTCCTTGTTTCCTCAACTACATTGTATCAAAAACCAAGTAGCCTTTTGGGACTTAATCATATTCTTATTTGAGAACGTTAGACCATATTGTGAAAAAGTGCATTGCTTTCCAGAGACTAAATATTCTTAAGACTAGTCAGGATTAAGTTCTTTATCAATTTTTATAGCTACTATTAAAAAATGTTTTGTGAAATAACATTTCTAAAAGTGGCTGTCAAGAGAGTCTGTTGTTTAAAAGTTAAATGCCTGGTTTTTCACTCCTCCACTTCTCTTTCATTTGACTTCTCTTGAAGTACTTGGTAGACACTCCAGTAAGGATATTGAACTCTGAGGTCACTATTTAGCCGTTCTGAGTTCTGTATTTTTTTTAAGGTTTGTGATATTGACAAATGGAAAGGGGCAAATTAGTATAATAAGATAATCTAGGCTTGTCATTTTTTGGTGTAGTCACACAGTTGTACTTTTAAAGTACTGGAGGTAATAATATTGCATAAATCAGATACTTCTGTTTAGAGATGAGTTACTTCCTATATTCATGATCTTAAAGAAAAATTTGAGAACATCAATGACATGTTAGATTTTTAGAAATTACACATTTGTGGAGTATTTAGTATTTCTTCTAAGACAGGCTCCTTTAGTTGTAATTTTGGATAGTTTTCAAAAGTTCTTTTAACATTTAGACTTCTTTGCATAATGTTATCCACTTGTGATATTCTGGATAAGCCTTAATTTTGTTTATCAAATGTTTTCTTTCAACTTTTTGTGTGTGTGTGTGCAGATGTTTGTGGATTCTTCTGTGGGATCAGAGGGCACGCCTATTGTAATCAGAAAACTCCAAGAATAGCAGCAGGGATGGATGAACAGGCTCTTTTAGGGCTAAATCCAAATGCTGATTCAGACTTCAGACAAAGGGTAAGTTAAGTCAGCGTAATCATTTTTTAAAGGTTACTACAGATTTGCATTAGAGGACTTGAATTAAAAAAAAAAATACATCTGATGATGAAGATTTCATTTGAGTAGAAATGAATGGAGACAGATTTGATGTACTTGAATATATTCTGAATATACAAACAGCATTGTGATTTGTGTTTTAAAAGTTGGTTTAACAAGTATTGAAATCCCATGTGTGATTCAAGGCAGCTCTTTATGTCACATCAGTCATTGTTTCTATTTAGTTAAAAGTTGTAATGCAAAGACTCTTCGAAGAACTTTTCCATAGTGACAGACATGCATATTTTATCTTTCTATTGCCTGGCTTGGTCTGACGTTAATGATACTTAACATCCTTGTTATTTAGTCCAGGCAGACATGTAAATTAGCAGTTAGAATATGCCATGTCTTAGGTTACATAAAATGGTCAGATGACAAGGAATCCATGGGGCGCTGGGATATTTGGACAATTAAACATAATGTAGGCTACACCTGTAATCATGGCTATAGCCGAATGATAAAAGAAGAATCTAAAGAGCAAGCCTATAATTACATTTGTTAAAGATGTGGGTGTTTTGAAGTATAGGGTAAGTGGAAGGAGAATCATTTTCTCTTTCCACTTCTCATAGCAAAGGATATTTTTTACAAATGAGCTAAATGAGGTTAACAATCTCACTAAATAGTATTGCAGTTTTTGTTGTGCTTTTAAGCAGAATTTTCTTCGTAGTAAAAAAAAAAAATCTCAAGTAGTTTCTAATATGGTTTCATGCCTCTGCTGTTCAATAAGTAACAAGCCCTCCACATTGAGGGCAATAACAGGAATTGAGGTTTAAATATCTGGCTAGTTACAAGATACCTAACAAACTAGTTAGGACATCAAAAGACATTTAAAATTATGTTTTCTCTGTGTAGACAAATTTCTTTCCACAGGAGTTTAAGCTGCCTTACCTTCAAACCCTTAGTCACATAGTTGAAGTATCATAGATGTTTACCTTGGTATTGTATGGCTATGATTAAAAGCCTTTTAGAATTTGTTATTATAGTCTTTTGTGTTATTTTATTTTATGATCTCTTTTGGAAATTATTCATTTTTTATTAAATACCACAATCCAACAGATTAAAAAAGTTTTTTTAAATGCTTATTTATATTTGAGAGAAAGAGAGATGGAGTGTGAGCGGGGGAGGGGTGGAGAGAAACGGAGACAGAATCCTCAGCAGGCATCAGGCTCCGAGCTGTCAGCAGAGCCTGAGGCAGGGCTCAAACCCACAAACTGAGAGGTCATGACCTGAGCTGAAGTCAGATGCTTAACAGACCAAACCACCCAGGTACCCTCTCCCAACACATTTTTTAAATGTGTAATTATTTTATTTTTTGGAGAAGTAAACCTAATGCATTGTTAGTAGTTTTAATATAAAGTTCTGCTTTTATCATTAAAATTGAGTTCCATCAGTCATAGGCATATATTAAGCATCCAAATTCAGGCTTAATTTGATCCCCTTAAGCCATCCTGAGTAATGGAATTAATTAGGATAAAAAAGAAGGAATCTTAAAGAAAGTGAGTTCTAATAGTTCTGATGCTGGAAATGAGTAGTTGGGACACTAATTCAGTTTGATTGTAAGATAACTGTGTGCCAACCCCATTTCTTAGTTGTCTGGCTATAGTTCTGTTTTTCTACAGGGGCAGTAGCTGAAGTGCCTCTGTTGCCACTTAGAAGCAGCAATCTAGAGCATTAGAAAAAAGGTATGAAATAAAAGAAATAGGTGATAAAAGCTTTGACTTGTTCATCATTGCCACAAAATTTTATTTTAAAATGTTGGTAATGCATGGATTCAGAGTTAAAAGACTTCAGTTAAAAACTGGAAACTTTCAAGTTATTTTCACTTTTTTAATGGAATCGCTGTCTTTGGCTTAAAACTTACTAAAGAAACTGGTAGGTCAGTGATATACTGAATCCCCCCCCCCCCCGCCTTTTTTTTGGTAAGTGATACATTACGTGGTAATGCAACATACATGATTGACTTCCACCTTGTCCTTAAATGGGACAATTAATGTTCCTAAAGGAAACCCAACGTTTCGTGGAATATTGTTAGACAACAACTGAACTAGATTCTTTGCAGCAGCCTGGGTTCTTCTGGTCTTAATTTTCAAAGAGAGCCATTATTTATACTTGTGGGAGCAGCCAGTGAGACCACATATGAAAACCCATTCCCTAATCCCTCACTGATACAATTATAATAAAAGAATATCACTTAAATATGGTAGCTTTTTGGCTTTTTTTTTAAACCTCTAACCTAAAGGAAAAATTTTACATCTTGATTGTGTGTATGTGTGTGTGTACAGACATATATGAATAAATATATTTTTTATTTATTAAAAAAATTTGTTTTAACATTTATTCATTTTTGAGAGAGACAACATGCGTGGGGGATGAGCAGAGAGAGAGGGAAACATAGAATCTAAAGCAGGCTCAGAGCCTGGACGTGGAGCTTCAACCCACGAGCTGCGAGACCATGACCTGAGCCGAAGTCGGATGTTTAACTGACTAAGCCACCCAGGTGCCCCAAGTAAATATATTTTTTACATGTGTATACTGTGTGTATGTATATATGTGTACATATATACACATTTTATATATGTATATATATACATACACACAGTATACACATGTACACACATATATATACACACACATGTACTCATATATAACAAAACAATTTACGCAACATAATATGTGCAGTGTACTGATATTCTGTCATTTTTTTTATTGCTGATCAAGACCTATACAATTTATTTCATCACTATTGGAGCACAAACCATAGCTTTAAAAATATTTACTAATTAAAATTAGGTTCCTGTAATACGTAATGTTCTTTCTACGTCATTTCAAGGTTCATATCAGTCATTTCAAGGTTCATATCAGCTTTAAAATTATCTAGCACTGTTTTTGTGTTATTTTCTTGGCTGTTTGAGGTACTTTTCACAGCTCGCTCGGATTACTATTTGTCCATTGTCCTACATGACCTCTGTATCTGTCATTGATGCCAGTTGAAACAGGCTAATGGAAGAGTGCCAGAAGTCCTTCCCATTTTCCCAGCAATCTAGTAAGGAGCACACGGACTTGGTGCTTCATCCATCTTGACTATACTTTTGAACAAAGCCCTGAATTCTCAAGCAGAGAAATACAAAACATTTCCTAAAGCTTTCCAATTGTTAGTACTTTTCCAAAATTCATATCATGTAATTGGACTTTAATTTTGTAATCACCTCTTTAATAGCATATTTGCTATTAAATAGGAAAAATGCCCTTTACGTACCATTTTATAATTACATATACCTCAGGAACACAGCACTTGACAAAGCACTTGTGGTTTTTCTCTTAATGCTCCTAATTATTCACGGAGGTCTGCAGGGCATTTTTGTGTTGTCTTCTTTGCTGTAGGGAAACAGGAGTGTCTAACAGAATTTGCTTTTTACGTAACCTTTTTTCTAGGAATGATCACTAAGTTGCACATACTTAGAAGCCAGTATTTTAGCTTTTTTTTTTTTTTTTTTTTTAGGTGGACTGATTTATTTTTGGTTTGCTACTCATAGAATATTTTAGTATCAGTAAGGCACTGAGACTGACCATTCCACATGTGTTTTCGGCTTTGTAATCTTACAGGCCCTGGCCTATTTTGAGCAGTTAAAGATTTCCCCAGATGCCTGGCAAGTGTGTGCTGAAGCTCTGGCCCAAAGGACATACAGGTAATTAAAACAAAATTTGCATGACTTAGAGGAATTTAAATTTCTGTGAACCTGCTAGGGCTCTCAAATTTACCTGTATTTGGAAAACGTTTCCATAAAAACATTTTATGGCTTGTGTTTTGGAAAAACGTTCAGTGTAGAAATGAGAAAAATAGTAAACTAATAATTTGGCCATTCCAGCATGGACTTTTCAGTAAGTCTGTCTTTTGCGTATGCTTTGCACTCGATAGCAGATCCCAGCAGGAATACAGTGCAGTAAGAACTTCCTTATGATGGTTTTCTAAAAGGTTGGCAGAGGAGGTAGTCATAAATTGTATGTATCTTAAGGTTTTTTTTGTTTTTTTTTTTAACGTTTTATTTATTTTTGAGACAGAGAGAGACAGAGCATGAACGGGGGAGGGTCAGAGAGAGAGGAAGACACAGAATTGGAAGCAGGCTCCAGGCTCTGAGCCGTCAGCCCAGAGCCCAATGCGGGGCTTGAACTCACGGACCGCGAGATCGTGACCTGAGCCGAAGTCGGCCGCCCAACCGACTGAGCCACCCAGGCGCCCCTTTTTTTAATTTTTTTTTTAACGTTTTATTTATTTTTGAGACAGAGAGAGACAGAGCATGAACGGGGGAGAGTTAAGTTTTTATTTTAATTTAAAGTATACAAAAAATTTAGAGTGTATACACATTCACTTACCAGCTTCTTTATATTAAATCAAGCTCTTTCCTTTATGTATATGCCACTAGCATTCGCTTCATCATTCTTACATTGATCACACCTATAATGCATCCTCTACAGTTTCCACTTTGGATCTCCAGTGGATTGAAGAAGTTAGATGTTTTAGTTACTTAGCCCCACCTCTCCAAGTCTTCTAGTTATCTAGCCCACATCAAATATGCAGAAGGATTTTCCCTTTATAATAAAATTTTTTTAATTTTTCTTTTTGTTTGTTTATTCACTTAGAGACAGCACAAGTGGGGGACAGGTGGAGAGAGAATCCCAAGCAGGCTGTCTGCACCATCAGCTCAAAACCTGACCTGGGGCTCAGATTCACAGTGAGATGATGACCTGAGCCAGTCAGTCACTTAACTGACTGAGCCAGCCAGGTGCCCCCTTTTTAAAAATTTTATTTTAGGGGTGCCTGAGTGGCTCAGTCAGTTGAGTGTCCCAGTTCTTGATTTTGGCTCAGGTTGTGATCCCAGGATTGGGGGATTGAGTCCTGTGTCGGCTCTGTGCCAAATGTGGAGCCTGCTTCAGATTCATTTTCTTTCTTTCTCTCTCCCTCTCTCTCTCTCCCTCCACCTCCCTCCCTCTCTCCCTCTCTCCCGGTCGGCCTCGCCGCCGTCTCTCTGGCTCTCCCTCCCTCCCTCTTCTCCTCTCCCCCCAACCCCCTGCTCCTCCCCCTGGCTTGGCATACGCTCTCTCTCTAAAATAAATTTTAAAAACTTAAAAAGGAAAAAAAAATATTAAGAATTTTTATTTTAATTCCAGTTAATTAACATGCAGTGTTATATTGTTTCCAGGTGTACAATATAGTGATCACCCTGTGCTCATCATGACAAGTGCCCTCCTTAATCCCCATCACCTATTTAACCCATTCCCTTAGCCACCTCCCCTCTGGTAATCATCAGTTTGTTCTCTATAATTAAGAGTCTTTTTCTTGATTTATGTATCTCGCTTTTATTTTTTCCCCTTTGTTCATTTGTTTCTGAAATTCCACATATGAGTGAAATCACAGAGTATTTCTCTTTCTGTGACTGACTTACTTCACTTAGCATTATACACACTAGCTCCATCCATGTCGTTACAAATGGCAAGATTTCTTTCTTTTTTTATGGCTGAATAATATTCCACTGTGTATATATACCACCTTTTCTTTATGCATTCATCTCTCAGTGGACACTTGGGCTGCTTCCATGTCTTGGCTATTGTAAATAGTGCTGCTATAAACACAGGGGTGCATGTATCCCTTTGAATTAGCGTCCTAAGGTTTTTCCTTTTTGTAGTGTGACTTCTGTGAAGTCTTTTTAAAGCGTTCAGCTTAATTTTTACAAAAATAGGAACTTTCATACTCATTTCATTAGTTTATATAATGGTTAACTAAGTTACTTAACTGAAAAAGGCATACAATTGACATAGTAAGGCGTAGGGAAACACAGCTGACTTAGGGTAAGCAGACAACTTGCTGGTGGCAATATGCCCCTGGGTGTTAGTGATGGCTTCTACCTGGCATAGTCGACATGTTGTGGCTGTGAGTTGCCACCGTTGACGGTTGGAACCAAGTACTCCACGTTAGAGTTTATTTCGAGAACATCTGTATGCCTTAGAGGATATAAGATCTGGTTTTTAAAAGGATTTCTGTAGTATATTTTTCAGTGGAAACCTAAGTCTTTTATAGTTCAGTTAAGGCTTCAGTGTCATCCATGGTAAGGATAGAAACCTTAAGTTCTCAGAAGAGGTGGTAATTAAACCTAACTTAATTAAAAGATTGTTTCAACTTCTTGTGTGTGAAATTATTTTGTTTAGTTAATTCATGTAGTCTAAATTAAGATACTGCCTATTCTTGTATTTACCAGTTAGCTTTAGATGTGAAAAATTGTTCAATGATTAAGGCTGGCCCAGACAAACTACACTAGATGAACAGATTGTTGTTATTGCTGGTATTTTTGGTTTTGCTTTGTTTGTTTGTTTATTTTGAGAGAGAGAGAGGGAGAGAGAATCCCAAGCAGGCTCCGCCCTGCCACCGCAGAGCCCTACGGGAGACTCGAACTCACGAACCAAACCGCAAGATCATTTGACCTGAGCTGAAACCCACTTGAACACTTAAATCGACTGAGCCACCTAGGCACCCCTGTTGTTCTCTAAACGGATTTTGTTAGAGATTGTAGTTGACTCACTGCAGCTCTGCATCACCCCTAGAGAGACCCTTGAGAGTAGAAAATTGGTAGATAACTGATTTTTGCTCCCTTCTTACAAGGGCAGTGTATCTGTAACTTGGTTTTCTGCATGAAATTTTGAGGCTGAACTACCAGGCCGAGTGGCACTGCTCGTTTTGGATTTGGTGCAATGCAGCTGTCTAGGGTTGAATTTTAAGTATGATTTCAGTTACTAATCTCTGTTTGAATCAGTCTGGGTATTTGACCATTTGTTATTCTACCCCTATTCTAGCCTTTCTGTTGTAAAGTGTAGGAGTTGTTACAGGAATCCAAACATCTAGAATTTAGGGGGAATGTTTTCTGTTTGCAAAGCAGTATACTTAAGCTGCATCTTAATTTTTGTCATCATTTTATCAGATTTAATGGAAATATTCATCATTGTATAATATTGAGGTTCTAAACAAATGGATATCAGTGTAATATATGAGATCAAGAGGTAGAAAGGAAGCCAAAGGTCTCCTTTGAGAAACTTTTCAGATGTTTCACTAGTATTTTACTTTTGATTTGTTTTCTCTAAATTCTGTTCTAACCTGGTTTTCCTTTTTTCTTTTTCAGTGATGATCACATAAAGTTTTTCTGCTTTCAAGTACTGGAACATCAAGTTAAATACAAGTAAGGCTTTTCTCACTGTTTTGACTCTGAACTTTGTGAGGAGAGACCATTTTCTAAGTTAGTTTTTTTCTGGGAAAATCATACGCTGTAGGTTGAGAGTGCATAAGTCACATCCAGTTTATAGATGTGTTTTGATTTATCCCAAAGTGTTTTAAAAATACTGACTTCATTGGTTACAATAAAAAATCCAGACATTTCACACAACAAATTAGATTTCAAGCTTCTCTGAAAAAATCAGAAGATCTAGCAACGGCAAACCTGTTTCCTACATGATAACTCTGTTAGAGGTTAGTGGCAGTGTGGCCATTTGCATTTAGAAACCTGCCTCAATTAAGCAGAAAACAGTGAATCGCTGCTCAGAGGACCCTTAGTTTGCCTGTCGATTTATTTTGTAAGTCACAGACCTCAAAACATAGCCATATTTCCATTTGAAAAATTCGATAGCTACCATTTTATTTTCACATGAGCTGAACCTTAAACTAAGATCAGTGGTTGATATACTGCCTACCAGGCCCACCCGGTCTTTTCTTTAAAGCCATGATGAGAAGCATTATCAATTTATTTTAGGAAGTTTTAAGTAATTGAGTGTTACATAGATTTTCCCTTTCAAATATATGAGGCTGTTACTTTTTAAACCACAGACACCAAATACAGGCGTTACTATTTTTCTTCTCTATTTTGGACAGATACTCAGAGCTAACTACAGTTCAGCAACAACTAATTAGGGAGACGCTCATCTCTTGGCTTCAAGCTCAGGTAAACTAGTAATTTTATTCCGTACCTCAAATTGCCAGATATTTAAATTTTTAGTTTTGTAAGAGTTTAGAATTTTACCTCAGAAATGTTGGACATTAATCCTCCATTTGATCCCATAGCTCTTTTAGAAAGTGCTGATTTCAAAGATCATGGGTATAAGAAAGCCTTGCAATAATTTAAAATTATATCAATAACTGAAACTGTCATGCTTTCCATGACACATTGTTGAAACTTGGTTTTAAAATAGTTTGTTGTTGTTTAACTACTTAACAGAAACAGATACTTTGTTTACTTTTAAACATGAGCCCTCCTGGACAGCCTCTTTACAAAGGGTGGGGGAGATCTTAGAGTTTTTTGTTCATGTTGTGTTCTTTTTTGTTAATTTTAACTAATCTTAACATATAAAGTAGTAGTTATGTAGGTGGAATTTTTATTTTCCTTAAAGAGCAAACAGCTAGAAGAAAAGCAGTTAGTAAAAGGAATAAGTAATAAAACTCTACATGTGAAACTTTTCTCTAAAAGTGTGAGAAAGAGAAGTAACCATCTTTGTTTGACTGTTTTCCACCTGGGTAATCACTTAAATACTTCGGTAATTTTTAAGCATATTTGTTGCATAGCTAATCTAGACTGTGTAGGGGTTTGGTGAGTTTTTGCCTATCGATGATAAATAGGAAAACAGTATGAGAGTTTCCAGTTTACATTTAATTTCAAGGACAATTTCTCTGTTTGTCAGATGCTGAATCCCCAACCAGAGAAGACCTTTATACGAAATAAAGCAGCCCAAGTCTTCGCCTTGCTTTTTGTTACAGAATATCTCACTAGATGGCCCAAGTTTTTTTTTGACATTCTCTCAGTAGTGGACCTAAATCCAAGGGGAGTAGATCTGTACCTCCGAATCCTCATGGCAATTGATTCAGAGTTGGTGGATCGTGATGTGGTGCATACATCAGAGGCAAGTAACTTCCCATTAATTGTTAGTTGATTTTTTTTTAAGTTTATCCATTTTGAAAGAGAGCATGCGTGAGAGAATCCAGTTCATGAGCGCAAAAGAGGCAGACAGGGAGAGAGAAAGAATCCCATGCAGGCTCTGTGCTGAGCCCAATGCAGGGCTCAGTCCCAAGACTGTGAGATCATGACCTGAGCTGAAATCAAGAGTTGGATGCTCAACCAACTGAGCCACCCAAGTGCCTGTAATTGTTAGTTTTTTTGTTTTTTTTTTTAATTTTTTTTTTCAATGTTTATTTATTTTTGGGACAGAGAGAGACAGAGCATGCACGGGGGAGGGGCAGAGAGAGAGGGAGACACAGAATCGGAAACAGGCTCCAGGCTCTGAGCCATCAGCCCAGAGCCCGACGCGGGGCTCGAACTCACGGACCGCGAGATCGTGACCTGGCTGAAGTCGGACGCTTAACCGACTGCGCCACCCAGGCGCCCCTGTAATTGTTAGTTTTTAATGAAGATTTTGTAGGAGGTGATGGGCACATAAAAAAAGAGTGGGATGTCTCTTTTATTCAGAGAGACATTGTCTTTTTTTTTTTTTTTAAATTAAAAAAAATATTTTTTTTAACGTTTATTTTTGAGACAGAGTGCAAGCAGGGGAAGGGCAGAGAGAGAGGGAGACACAGAATCTGAACTGGGCTCCAGGCTCTGAGCTGTCAGTACAGAGCCTGACATGGGGCTCAAACCCATGGACTGTAAGATCATGACCTGAGCTGAAGTCAGGTGTTTAACACACTGAGCCACCCAGGCATCCCTGGAGACACGTTTTCTTTTCTTTTCTTTTTCTTTCTTTCTTCTTTTTTTTTTTCAGTTATTTATTTTAGTAATCTCTACATTCAAGATGGGGCTCAAACATCCCCAAGATCAAGAGTTGTATGCTCTTCCAACTGAGCCAGCCAGGTATCCCCAAATTTTTGCAATGATTATAAATTCACCCATTTTTAATTTTGTTCTACAAAGGAACTTGAACTGGCTTTTTCCCCCAAGTGTATGTTGAAATTAGAGTATTACTTTAGAGGGTTGTTTGGTTTTTTTTTTTTGGTTTTTGTTTTTTTGGTGGTTTTGGGGTTGTTTTGTTCATTTGTTTTGTAATGAGGCAAGTACTTTCTCCAATGAAGTACACAAATTGGTTCTCTTAGGAATTTTTGAAGCAATGCGGTCTGTATTTACTCCTGCTATATAGTTAGTGAGGAGGTATCGTTGCTTATCAATCTGTGCCCTTTCTTCTGTATTCCCCATTACACAGCCCATCACCTTAGTCTTTATTTCTTCATTATCTGATACAACTTTTCTCCTTATTCTTTCACTTTTTTTTAATGGTTTATTTATTTTGAGAGCACGTGGGCAGGGAAGGGCAGAGAGAGAAGAGAGAATCCAAGCAGGCTGCGTGATGTCAGTGCAGAGCTTGACACAGGTCTTGATCTCACAAAAAAACCGCAACATCATGACCTGAGCCAAAATCAAGAGTAAGAGGCTTAACTGATTGAGCTACCCAGGCGCCGCACTCTCTCCTTATTCTTTTTTTTTTTTTTTTTTAATATTTATTTATTTTTGAGAGAGAGAAACACAGAATCTGAAGCAGTTCAGGCTCTGAGCTCTTAGCACAGAGCCAACATGGGGCTTGAACCCATGAACTGTGAGATCACTACCTGAGCCAATGTTGGACACTTAACTGACTGAGCCACCCAGGCACCCTTCACCTTCTTCTTAAAGGACACAATAGAAATTGCTTGATTCAGGAGTATCTGGGTGGATCAGTCAGTTAAATGTCCGACTTTGGCTCAGGTCATTATCTCATGGTTTGTGAGTTTGAGCCCCATATTGGGCTCTGCACTATAGTGCAGATCCTCTGTGTCCCTCTCCCTCTGCCCCTCTCTATCTCAAAAATAAATAAACATTAAAGAAAATTGCTTGATTCAAATGTGTAAAATAATTTAAAGTCATATGTCAGAAATACTTAAAACTGTAAAGGTTATTATCATGCATTTAAATTATTACCATTCCTGCAGAATGTATAAAGATGTTGATTCACTACGTTGTATACCTGAAACTAATGTAATATTGTAAGTCATTGTAAGTCAACTATACTCAAAAAAATTTTAATTATAAACAAATTTCCACTCTCTTACGTAGGTTAAATAATCATGTTTGTATAATACTGACAAGTACCTTTTATCATATGCTTTAGATTTCTAAGTAATGCTTATTTATAGTTGGTTTTTTATTTTTTATTTTATTTATTTTTTTTTTAATTTTTTTTTTCAACGTTTACTTATTTTTGGGACAGAGAGAGACAGAGCATGAACGGGGGAGGGGCAGAGAGAGAGGGAGACACAGAATAGGAAACAGGCTCCAGGCTCTGAGCCATCAGCCCAGAGCCTGACGCGGGGCTCGAACTCCCGGACCGCGAGATCGTGACCTGGCTGAAGTTGGACGCCTAACCGACTGCGCCACCCAGGCGCCCCTGGGTTTTTTTTATTAAAAAAATTTTTTTTAATGTTTATTTGTGAGAGAGAGAGAAACAGAACATGAGCAGGGGAGGGGCAGAGAGAGAGGGAGTCACAGAATCCAAAGCAGGCTCCAGGCCCTGAGCTGTCAGCACAGAGCCCAATGCACGGCTCGAACTCACAAGCCATGAGATCATGACCTGAGCCAAAGTTGATTTAACTGACTGAGCCACCCTGGCGCCCCTATGGTTTGTGTCTAATAAGAAATCTGGCACTGTGGAATGCAACAGAAAAAGGAAATTAAAAGAATCACAGGATATGATTTTAGAGTTGAGAAATAGAAAACAGTGGCAGGGAATGTGTTAACAAGTCTGGAAGTTTAGTAGTGAGGAAATTTGTGTAACTATTCAGATGTCAAAAATTATTTTGTGTGGTAATCTACTCGATGCATAAGATGTTTTATTTTGTTTTTCAGGAGGCTCGTAGGAATACTCTAATAAAAGATACCATGAGGGAGCAGTGCATTCCAAACTTAGTGGAATCATGGTACCAAATCTTACAAAATTATCAGTATACTAATTCAGAAGTGACGTGTCAGTGCCTTGAGGTAGTTGGGGCTTATGTCTCTTGGATAGACTTATCCCTTATAGCCAATGATAGGTAAGTATACATATATTATCAGGATTTAAGTCTACAAAATACAGTGTGTAAAACTCATGTGTTTGAAAATGTTGTAACAGTTTTATTCTGCTGTTGCCAGGTTTATAAATATGCTGCTAGGTCATATGTCAATAGAAGTTCTACGGGAAGAAGCATGTGACTGTTTATTTGAAATTGTAAATAAAGGAATGGATCCTGTTGATAAAATGAAACTAGTAGAATCTTTGTGTCAAGTATTACAGTCTGCTGGGTTTTTCAGCATTGACCAGGTTGGTAAATTTATGTATTAAGTTTTCAAAATTGTTAGAACAAAGTAGGACAGGTATTAATTTAAATACACTTTCTTTTTTCCTTTTTCCCCCAATGTTGTAAACTCTCCTTGAGATTATAAATAAGGAAACACTGTATTCAGAAAGCCATAATGTTCGCTGTAGCATTTGCCTTGGACAGTAAATTATGTTGTTATATTTAATAATTATGTATATAATAATACATATTATGATCTATACATAATATATATACTATAATGTATACATAATAATGTATATAATAATACACATATAATATACACACATATATTTATATACCTATAATATATATATGTATATATATATAATTATACCAGTTCTTACAGTTGAAGACCTGGGATGGTACCTGCAGTTGTGCATTTTTAACAAACTCCCAGTTGAATCTGATACCATTGGTCTGTCTTTTAAATAGCAAGGAATATCCTATATACATGGCAGTGTGTTTTGACCAAAACTATACCCCGTTATAAATGTTACATTTTCACCATACTTTTGATTGTTATTCATTTGAGTTATGTACATTGTAGCCCCAACAGAGTGAGGGCTCTGAGTGTGGTAAATAAGTAATTTAGAAACAGAATATGGAGGGGTTTTGTTTTTAAGATTTTTTTTTTTATGTTTATTTTTGAAAGAGTGCAAGTGGGGGAGGGGCAGAGAGAGGGAGGCAGAGGAAACAAAGCAGGCTCTGTGCTGACAGCAGAGAGCCCAATGTGGGGCTCAAACTCACAAACCGTGAGATCCTGACCTGAGCCGAAGTTGGATGCTCAACTGACTGACCCAGCCAGGCGCCCCATGAAGGTTTCTCTTTTGCCTGTGACAGTGATAAAAAATTACTAAGAAATCTTTGAATTGCTGGTATGTCAGTAGTACAGCTCTCCTGTTATCCTTGCCGACAGAAGAATAGTAGTGTTTTCTTACATTGCTAACAATTGTCTTATTTAGTCTGCAGTAAAAGACCTAAAATGATGAAACTAAAATCTCTAAAGAATCATCATAAGAATAATTAATGAAAATAATGTGAAGTTTAAGTTCTGACTCTTAACACTGGTATGACCTTAGGCAGGTGGTTATAATGGCAGTTCTATCTTCCTGTAGCATAGTTGAGGCTCACATAGTTTCAGAAAGGACTGTTACAGATTGTTATACTGTAGTGTGACATTGACTATTATAGCATATTTACTAAATCAAACAATTTAGACAGAAGGTTTTGAAGCCACAGATCTCTTTTCTTAAGCTTTTATAACGTTGGCAGTAGAAGCACATAACCGTTGGAAAGAATTGCTTGGAAGAGTACCAATGGCCAATAATAGTAGAAGAATTCAAATTCTAATGAGTTTCCAGTCCAGGTAGTAGAATAGTTAAATTTCTGTTAAGTTTAAAATTGGTTGTAGAATTGTCACTTGATTCATACTAAAGTTGATAGAGTTTTTCTTCTTACTCTTAGGTGGGAGGTTTTAAATTGAGGTCTCTTTTGATTGTTTGTAGGAAGAAGATGTTGACTTCCTGGCCAGATTTTCTAAACTGGTAAATGGAATGGGACAGTCCTTGATAGTTAGTTGGACTAAATTAATTAAGAATGGGGATATCAAGAATGCTCAAGAGGCACTACAAGCTATTGAAACAAAAGTGGCCCTGATGCTGCAGCTACTAATTCATGAAGATGATGACATCTCTTCTAATATTATTGGATTTTGTTATGATTATCTTCATATTTTGAAACAGGTAAGTCCTTGTTTTAATCTTTTTGTCCAGTACATAATATAGAAGAGCCACAGAGAATTGAAAAATATAGGAAAAAAGAAAATACCTGTCATTCTACTAGCTAGCTACATTTACTGTTAAATATTAATGTCTTTCCATCTTCTTTTTTTTCCAACTTCTTAGCCAGAAAACAAGAATGGCCAGAATCTAAAATTTGCTAGATTTTAACAAGCTCCAGAATTAGCTGTAGGTTTACGTTATTTTTTCATTTTGAATCTGTGTATGTTTGTTTTTAAGTAGGCTCCATGCCAAGCATGGAGCCCAACTCAGGGCTTGAACTCAAGAACCTGAGATCAAAACCTGAGCTGAGCTAAGAGTCGGATACTTTAATCGACTGAGCCACCCAGGTGCCCCTGTGCTTGGTTTTAAATATAGTAGAAATTTTGTTAAACATCATTCGTTATTTTAACTAAATATACATTATTTCTTATAAATAATTTTTTACAATTAAAAATCTCTCCTTACAGAGTTGTTTCCGATAAGGACTTAAAATGTAGACAGTAATAGTCTCCATGTTAGGGCTTGTAGCCATTTATTTATTTTTGTTCATTTTTTTCTTTTAATATTTATTTTTGAGAGAGAGAAAGCATGCATGCAAGCATGGGGAGGGGCAGAGAGAGAGGGAGTCAGAATCTGAAGCAGGCTCCAGGTTCTGACAGACGGCACAGGGCCCAACGTGGGACTCAAACTCACAAACTGTGCGATCGTGACCAGAGTGGAAGTTGGAGGCTTAACCAACTGAGCCACCCAGGCGCCCCTGTTTATTTTTGAGAGAGAGAGAGTAGAGGAGGGGTAGAGAGAGGGAGAGAATCCCAAGCAGGCTCCGTGCTGTCAGCACAGAGCCCTACAACATGGGGCTTGATCCCACAAACCATGAGTTTATGGCCTGAGCTGAAATCAAGAGTTAGACGCCCAACCTACTGGGCCACCCAGGTGCCCTGAGAAGTTGCTGATTTTGTTGTTGTTGTTTTAAAGCGTTTTTTTTAATTTTACTTATTTTGAGAGAGCACAAGCAGGGGAGGGGTAGAGAGAGAGGGAGAGAGAGAGAATCCCAAGCAGCTTCCACACTATCAGTGGGCTTGAACTCATGAACCGAACTGTGAGATCATGACCTGAGCTGAAATCAAGAATCGAACACTTAACTAACTGAGCCACCCAGCTCCTCAAGAAGTTAGTAATTTTTAAGGCCCTGGGGTGCCTAGTGGCTCAGTGATTAAGCATACAACTCTTTATTTTGGTTCAGGATGTGATCTCATGGTTCCTGAGATCGAGCCCCACATCTCTGCACTAACAATGCAGAGCCTGCTTGGGATTCTCTCTCTGCCCCTCTCTCTGTCTCTCTCACTCAAAATGAATAAGTAAATTTTTTTTTTTCAATCACACAGCAGGGCAGATTTATTAAAAACAAATTAATAACTTCTCATTATGTCATTAGATGAGAAAACCATTGCTATTTTATTTACATTTGATTAGTTGAATCAAGTCCAGCTTAAAATGATTTTTTTCCAAACTGAGTTTAGCTTCTGTATTATTGTTGAAAACATAACACATGTCTGCATACATACCTTAAATTTCAGGTAACGGAAAGACGTGAAGAAAGTTAAAATGACTATTGGTGATTCCACTGTATGTCTCTTAATGGATTTCTAGCTTTTTTTTTTTTTTTTTTGCCTTGTTTGAAAATAAGGGAAGACCATACTTTACTGTCCTGTAAACTTCTTTGCTGAATACATTATGAATAATCCTTAGAGTTGAAATTCATCTATGTGTCAAGTTATTTACTAGAAATGGACTTGCTAGATTTTAGGTTAGGTGCATTTTAAATACAGAAAGGTACTACCAAACTGCCCTCTACAAAAGTTGTGTGCATGTTTTAAAAGGTCTTAATTGATGAAAAAAACATTTTGATGAGTACGACTTTAGGAAACCTAATAAATTATTGCTTGCTTTTTTTTAAACAGCTTACAGTGCTCTCGGATCAGCAAAAAGCTAATGTAGAGGTAATTGACTTATTTTTGCTTCTTATAAAGTGATACCAGAATTTGTGACTGCAGTCTGTCTTGAAATACAACAACTTCAAAATATGTCAAAGGAAACTGACCCAAGATATTTCTTAATTTTAGGCAATCATGTTGGCCGTTATGAAAAAACTGACTTACGATGAAGAATATAACTTTGAAAATGAGGTAAGAATTTTTGTTGGGAAGAAATTAGTTTTATTTACTTACCTCAAATTAACATTTTCAGTTTTGCTTAGAGTTCTTTAAATAAAACAAATATTTTAACACTCTTGCGTATATTGACCTCCACCTTAGGTGAAGTTAATAGAAGCCTCATAATCCTTCATAATACCCTCAAAAAATGCCTGTTTGGTATTTTATCCCTTTTTAAAACACTTATTGTAGCATTGAACTTCATAAAATATTAACAATACAAATGCTGATCATATCTCACTTTGTATTTAATAGAAGTGATGAGTTGAGACCTTGTCAGTGGACCTCAGATCATAAGTGTCTATGGGAAAGTGGGAATGAAGCACTTAACTCTCTGGACTTCTTGTAGCTGCAAGTCTTGTCCAGGGTTGCCAGTGAGTTATTTTACACACAAGGATCGTCAAGTGCTTTCTATCAACTCGAGCGTGGTTTATGCTATTTTACAATGTGCTAAGTGTTCAATTCCCCATCTGAGGCTTTCAAAAACTTTGGACTATAAAAAGGTAATGGTGATGATAATGAACAAATTGCACACTTTAGTACAAAACTTGTTATATACAATATCTTTATAAGATATTACAAGATACAAGGAGTATGAATAAGGTGGTGAAGCTTTCGTGAAGCCCATTGTGAATCCATTCTGCCTCTAGGTTCTTGTCCTTAACCTCCTCCCTATACTGTTTCTGGCTCTAGGCTTTTGAGGGCTAGGGCTGTGTTCAGAAATGTTTGTTGTGAGCAGGGGAGGAAAGGCTACTAAACGTAGTAATTTTTCCTACGTAAATGTTAATGAAAAAAGTACATATTAAATTTACAAATGCAGAAAACTATGAGAATGAACCATTTACATGAATTTTAAGGTCTTATAAGTTTTAAAATGAGAATTTAAAAATCTGTCTTAGGGTGAAGATGAAGCCATGTTTGTAGAATACAGAAAACAACTGAAGTTGTTGTTGGACAGGCTTGCTCAAGTTTCACCGGAGCTACTGCTGGCTTCTGTTCGCAGAGTTTTTAGTTCCACACTGCAGTAAGTGTGTGCCTGTTTTTGTAAGTGGCCTACCTCTTCCCTTTTCTCCGTGATGATGGTCTACAATGCATGATTCGTGTAATTTATTAATCTTTGTTACTTACCAAGGTCTTATGTTGTATGTGAAGCAATGCATTTGACTCCAATTATCTTTTTTTTAATCCCTGTATAGGTAACCTGCAGTGTTATATTAGTTTCAGGTGTACATTATAGTGATTCAGCTTTACACATTACTCGGTGCTCCTCACCATGAGTGCACTCTTAATCCCTTTCACCTATTTCATCCCCTCCCCTTCCCCCCTCTGGTAACCATCAGTTTATTCTCTAGTTCTCTTTTGTTTATTTGGTTTGTCTTTCTCTCTTTTTATCTCTCTTTTTCCTGTGTCTGTTTTGTTTCTTAAATTCAACATACGAGTGAAGTCATTGGGCATTTGTCTTTCTCTGGCTTATTTCACTTAGCATTATCCTCTCTAGCTTCGTCCGTGTTGTTGTTGTCTCCATTTATGATGATCCTTGTGGGGAAACACTGCTTTTGGAACATAAACAGCGAAATGTATCACGAGTCATTTCTAATTTTGTGATGTAATTTTGTTGCCTGTTAAAATTAACCATTACTATAATTTCTTAACAATTAAAGAGGCTTTTGTTGGTGTTCTGTAGAATGTTTATATGCAGATGTCATGTACATGTTCTCTCTTGGTAGGAATTGGCAGACTACACGTTTTATGGAGGTTGAAGTAGCAATAAGACTGCTGTATATGTTGGCAGAAGCTCTTCCAGTATCTCATGGTGCTCACTTCTCAGGTGATGTTTCAAAAGCTAGTGCTTTGCAGGATATGATGCGAACTGTAAGTATACTACAGATCATTTATTTTGAACATAATTTTCTGTTTTCACTGCAAGCTAATGGGAGTTCCTTAATTAGCATCTGTTAATACTGGGGTATTTTGATGTTACAATGAATTAAGGACAGATGTCTTAACTTTTTTCTGCTCCAGTTGGTAACATCAGGAGTTAGTTCCTATCAGCATACATCTGTGACATTGGAGTTCTTCGAAACTGTTGTTAGATATGAAAAGTTTTTCACAGTTGAACCTCAACACATTCCATGTGTCCTAGTAAGTATATATTTTATCCTCAGTTTCTGGGTTTTTTTCCAGGTATTTCTGCTAATGAGCAAATAGTAGTCTATTTTTATAAATTTTCTTGGAGCCAGAAGCTCTCAGAAACTCTTGAATACACTGAAACAGACCCCTCCTCTATTTCTTTAAAATAGACAGTTTCTGGCTTAATCAGTCATCTAAAACAAGTCCTCCAGGGCCTATTGGTGTCCTCAAGAATTATTTGTTAAATATACCAGGTTCCTGCCTTCTGGGAGCTAAGAAGTAAAATTTGATGGGAACAAACATGTATTGTGACAATAACAATAAAAGCCGTAAGTGAGTGCAGAAGTAGTGAAAGTGTCTCCGTTTCCTTAGATGGCCTTCTTAGATCATAGGGGTCTGCGGCATTCTAGTGCCAAAGTGCGGAGCCGAGCTGCTTACCTGTTTTCCAGATTTGTCAAGTCTCTAAAGTAAGTACGAAATATCAGCTGTTATGTGTCCTTTTTAAGATTATTAAATACGACCTATAAATTATTTTCTAAAAACCTATTGTAGATTTGGTTCTATTTGTTCTAAGGCTTTTTTTTTAATGAAATGTTCTTTTTTGGTATCATAATGTTAGGACTTCATTTACTATTCATTAGCCCCGGTACTTTGCAAATAAAGCATACCTTTATATAGAACAGCTGTCATCATTAACGGCATTAGTTATTTAATTTTTTTTTTAATATTCATTATTCACTTGTGTGAGAGAGAGAGAGAGAGCATGAGCAAGGGAGGGAGAGAGATGGAGGGAGACACAGAATCCAAAGCAGGTTCTAGGCTCTGAGCTGTCGGCACAGAGCCTGATGTGGGGCTCAAACTCATGAGCTGTGAGATCATGACCTGAGCTGAAGTCAGATGTAATGGCATTAGTTATTTATTTAGCCAACAGTTTTATTGGTGTTATAACTGTATGCCTTCTTTGAAATTCTAAAGAATATATTTCTTATTCTTAGAAACAAATTTTTTAACCTAATCTGTTTTTTTTGGGGGGGGGTATGAAAACTCATTCTAAGGCTTATAAGGTTGTAATTTTAAGAAATCATAGCTAGTCTTTTTTTTAATTTTTTAATTTTTATTTTTTTATTTTTTTTTAATTTTTTTTTTTCAACGTTTATTTATTTTTGGGACAGAGAGAGACAGAGCATGAACGGGGGAGGGGCAGAGAGAGAGGGAGACACAGAATCAGAAACAGGCTCCAGGCTCCGAGCCATCAGCCCAGAGCCCGACGCGGGGCTCGAACTCACGGACCGCGAGATCGTGACCTGGCTGAAGTCGGACGCTTAACCGACTGCGCCACCCAGGCGCCCCAAGAAATCATAGCTAGTCTTAATGATTACACTAACGTAGAACGGAACTTTTTTTTTTTTTTAGTTCTGCCCTTTATAAAGGGGGATTTGGTATTTTGAGCACTATTTACATAATTGTGATTTTTTTCTTTTGCCTTTTTTCAGTAAACAAATGAATCCTTTCATTGAGGATATTCTGAATAGGATACAAGATTTATTAGAGCTTTCTCCACCTGTAAGTATCTTTCCAAATTACAGATTCTCTCCAAATATCATTGAAGCCATACGTGCCTTTAGCCTTTAATGCTAATGCCTTGTAGGCAGTTTTCTTAATGAAGGGTCAGGGTGGCAGAGAGGAAGAGGGTGTGTGCAAGGGTTAATTACTTCTCTTTACCAAAATTCTGTTGGGATTAGTAAACATCATACTAAATTAATAAAATAGTGATAGAAAATAATCAGGAGTTGACTGATAAATTTGGCAGAATGAGATATGGTCTGTTCTCACTGTTAAATGTTGGAAGTATCTTACGGAGAAGGAAAAATTTAATTTCTAAATTTTTTCTTATTTAGTATATGATCATATTAGCCATTCTAAGTGACTGCTACCAGTAGAGTGACTTTTTTTGAGTAATTTAAGGCTTTGGCTAAAAATGTTTAAATGCTGGTTGATATTTTGGTATTCATTTCATCAGAAAGATTTAAATTGAGATACTTTGTAAGTATATTTTGACCTCTACATGTTTTTGTACACTGACGTTGACTCATTTTTTTCATAAACTTTGATAAAAGTTCCTACTAAAGCTTCCACTTGAGAAGTGTTAAACATAAAGTAATACTTTTGTTCTTTTCATTGAATATCAAAACTTAGGGTTCAGTGGTTACATAATTTCACTGAATGAAAGATTACTAATGAATTATATGCTTAAATTGTCTTGGCATATTACAAAACCCTATACATGAAAGAACTTCACCTAATTAATGCCAGTTTTCCTTGGCAGCTTTACAGTGACCTTATAAGACCTAGGCATTCAGAAAGTTTTATGTAGCAATATCATCTTATACATATTAGAAATCTTTGATTTTTTATACTGTTTGTATAAACAAGGGCTTGAACTATAGCTGCAATCCCTTTTTAGTACATAAAAACACTTTGTTTAGAGGCTTTTACTGAATGTTGTCTGCTTAATAGGGTCATGAGTACCCATTTTTAAGTACCGTTAATTAACTCATTTATTTTTTATTTTAAATATTTATTTTTGAGAGAGAGAACATGAAGGGGGGAGGTTGGGTAAGGGAGACCGAAGACCTGAAGTGGGCTGTGCACTAACAGCAGTGAGCCTGATTCAGGGCTCAAACTCACCAACTGTGAGGTCGTGACCTGAGTCGAAGTTGGATGCTCAACCAGCTGAGCCACCCGGGTGCCCCAGGACCTGATATCCATATAGCTGCTTTATCTTGGTGTTTTTAACCCCTAAAGCAGTGATTAGTCCTAGTGGTACTTAAATGCTTTACTACTTCTATATGGGGACATGCTTCTTTTAATAAATGAGGTACTCTTTTATATAAAATCACCACATAATTTGTTCTAAAACTAGATTTTTATGTAAATTTTTTTAAGTTTATTTATTTTGAGAGAGAGAGAGAGTACAAGCAGGGGAGAGGCAGAGAGAGAGGGAGACTCTCAAGCAGTCTGCACTGTCAGTGCAGAGCCCAGCACAGGGCTCTGATTCATGAAACTGTGGGATCATGACCTGAGCCGAAATCAGGAGTCGGACTCTCAACCAACTGAGTCACCCGGGCACGCTTTTTATGTAATTTTTCTTAGGTTTATTTATTTTGGGAGAGACAGAGACAGGGAGAGGGGCAGAGAGAGAGGGAAACAGAGAATCCCAAGCAGGCCCTGCACTGTCAGTGTGGAGCCCCATGCGGGGCTCGATCTCACGAAACTGAGATCAAGACCTGAGCTGAAATCAACAGTCTGATGCTTAACCAACCGACTGAGCCACCCAGGTGCCCCATGTGATTTTTTAACAGGGAGCTTTAGTGTTGGATCTAGAGTGCACTCTGGTATTTTCACCCTCCTTTTGATCCCTCCCAAAGTAAAAAGTAATAAAAATCGTTAACATAATGTAAAAAAATAATAAAAGTCATTAATAAGAATTGACCAGTGTATGGGATAATTACCTGTGCTTGAATGAGAACTATTTCTTCCATACGCAGTCTTATTTTCATACATTCTAAAGTAACAACTGGTGTGTGTGTATATGTGTGTGTGTGGTGTGTTTATTGTGTGGTTTTTATTGTTATTCAATTCTTAAATACTCCTCAAAATATTTACCTGTGTGATCTTTGTATTAACATTCAGAACACCTTTACACATCTCATTCGCCTCGTAACAGTTTTACAAATAAGATTGTTCTCAAAAGTGAACAAGTTAGAAGGTAACTAATAATTTATATGACAGTTTACTGTTTTATCAAGGATAGAATTAGACCTTTGATCTTTTGACCTCAAATTCCATTCTCTTTCCATTATGTGGTACTGGGAGAAAATTTGTTTTTGGTAAGTACTTGATCTACTTTTTAATAATGAGTTGATGTGATAGATTGTATCTCCTGTCCCTATCGCACTAATTGTACTTAAATGAGGGGAACTGAACAACGATAAACACCAGTAGGATTAAATTTCTTTCTAGGAGAATGGTTACCAGTCTTTGTTGAGCAGCGACGATCAACTCTTTATTTATGAGACAGCTGGAGTGCTGATTGTTAACAGTGAATATCCTGCCGAACGGAAACAAGCATTAATGAGAAATCTGTTGACCCCACTAATGGAGAAGTTTAAAATTCTGTTAGAAAAGTTGATGCTGGCACAAGATGAAGAAAGGCAGGCATCACTAGCAGACTGTCTCAACCATGCCGTTGGATTTGCCAGGTGAGTGTGATTGCAGTTAAGATTGTAAAGTGAGTATGCACACACAGAACACACACCAAGAACCATTTACTTGGATCTTTTAGCACTGGGTGCACACGCACACACACACACACACACACAAAATAATTGGGCACACATATCCATGTTTTGAAAACTGGATTGTCCAGAAAATTATCTAAACCTTTCTTCTCTATATCCAATAAATTAGAAGATTTAACTGAAGAAGGGACTAGGTCACATAACATTTTGCATTTCTGGTTTGATAACTATCCAAATCCTTGATCATCTGACTTCTTTGGTATAAGTTGATTGTATATTTAGGGGGGTTAACTGAAGAGTTTATATACTAATGACGTGGAGACATCTTGAATCAGTTTAGATACTTAAACCAACTTGAGCTACTCAGGCACCCCTGGATCAGTCTTGGTTCTTTAAAGATGAAGTCTTGAGGTTTCTTTCTAGCTCTTGCATTGTGTCCTGAAGACCACCCCAACTGCCTTTTTTTCCCTCTTTGCCCATATATTTTATTGGCAGACAATAACGTATGAAAGCTGGAGTGGTTGCTAATGGGAAATTGCTCTATAGAATACTTCAGTGTAAAAGCTAATGTTAGGATATATAAATAACTTGAATTCTAAAGACTGTTTTCTAAATTTAAGTCAGTAGTTTGCAGATTGTCTAATATAGCCCAGTCATAGTAAGTGTATTTTTTTTCTCTTTTCTGCTTGCTTTATCAGGATTTTAGTAAAACATTTAAGTAGAATTTCATTAGAAGGCTTGTATTAATGACCTGTCATTCGTTTAACCTGAGCCTATTCTGGAATGGTAGCTAGAAGCGATAGTATGCAAATAACTGTATTAGCCGAAGATGGAAGCAGTTGTGACATAGAAAATAGATAATTGGCAGGGCACCTGGGCAGTTCAGTCAGTTGAGTGTCCAGCTCTTGATTTCTGCTCAGGTCACGATCTCATGGTTTGTGAGTTCGAGCCCGCATTGGGCTCTGTGCTGACGGCGTAGAGCCTGCTTGGGATTCTCTCTCTTCTTCTCTGTCTGCCCTTCCCCTGCTTGCTTGCCTGCTCGCTTGCTCTCAAAATAAATGAATAAACTTAAAAAAAAAAAAAAAAAGAATTGGCTTCTTAGTTCTGTCAGTTGTGTGATTTATTGTGTTTTGTTTTTTTTTTAAATAATATTTGAGAGAAGCACAGCGTGAGTGGGGGAGGAGCAGAGAGAGGAAGACACAGAATCCAAAGCAGGGTCCAGGCTCTGAGCTGTCAGCACAGAGCCTGATGCAGGGCTCGAACCCACAAACTACGAGATCATGCCCTGAGCTGAAGTTGACCCTCAACCGACTGAGCCACCTAGGCGCCCCAATTGTGCATTATTTTTAATTACTCCATAAAACTTCCAAAGAATAAAGCTAAAACTAGTTGCTTGATTTTGCTTATGTAGTCGAACCAGCAAAGCTTTCAGCAACAAGCAGACTGTGAAACAATGTGGCTGTTCCGAAGTTTATCTGGACTGCTTACAGACGTTCTTGCCAGCACTCAGTTGCCCCTTACAAAAGGATATTCTCAGAAGTGGAGTTCGGACTTTCCTTCATCGAATGATTATTTGCCTAGAGGAAGAAGTTCTTCCATTCATCCCGTCTGCCTCAGAACACATGCTCAAAGATTGTGAAGCAAAAGACCTCCAGGAGTTCATTCCTCTTATCAACCAGATTACAGCCAAGTTTAAGGTACCACAGACCTTCAGAGCTCAGAGAATCACCTGACTTACAAATTAGACATATTTTGGCATTTGCCCCTTGGCTTATTTTTTCTTTAAATATAAGTCACTTGAGGGCATGGACCATAGGTCTTGTTGTCAACCCCTGTCTAGCACACTGCCTGACACATAGGACATCCTTAATAAATGTTTTAGTAAAAACATTTTTTCTGCTCTTTGCAAAAGAAAACTATTAGTCTGCTCTTTTAGAAGAGCAAATAAAAATGACATTGAGTACTAACGGTCTAGGGGTAAATGAAAAGGATTGTAACTTGGGTACCCAAGCAGGAGTTTGAAATTAATTCAGTGTACTAAAGTCACTTTTATTGTACAGGAGATTTAAGGCAAATATAAGCCGCGTAATAAAATTTACTAACGGTGCTTTCTGTGTTCAAAATCTGTTCTAAGCCTTTTTTTGTACATTCATTCAATCCTAACAGCCCTAGAGATAACTGTATTTTATATATGAGGAAATTGAGATGAAGATGTTAAGGAGTTTGCCAAAAAGCATGTAAAGCCTTGAAAGCCCAATCATATAAATTCTGCTAAAAATTTAGCAAAATAGAATTCGTTTCTTGAGAATTTAAATTTGAATATATTCCATGGCGATACTTGATGGTGAAATACGTCTGAGTCCCTATTTTAACCTGAATCTTGGGCTGTAAGCAATGAGCTAACAATTTTGAAGATTTCAATAATGCACATGTTCAATGTAGATTTTTGTTTTGACATTGGTATTTGCTAACAAAATTATGTAAATATATTAAATTCTGGATAAAGACTATATAAAACATGTTTTTTCTGTTTCATATAAATTATCCTACTCATTTCTGAAGTAGTAATAGTTTTTTTTTATCTTCAGATACAGGTATCTCCTTTTTTACAGCAAATGTTCATGCCTCTGCTTCATGCAATTTTTGAAGTGTTGCTCCGACCAGCAGAAGAAAATGACCAGTCTGCTGCTTTAGAGAAGCAAATGTTGCGAAGGAGTTACTTTGCTTTCCTGCAAACAGTCACAGGCAGCGGGATGAGCGAAGTCATAGCAAATCAAGGTGGGGGTGCTGATACTGTCTGCTCGAGGCCTTGTCACAGTTGCAGTTGCACGTCTGTAGGAGTAAGAGCTCATTGAAGTGAATACCAAACTTCTAAGGTGGTTGTATGTTCGCACCTGGGTTGACAATTTATTATCATCAGGGTGAAAATCTATTTCATGCAGAGGACCTTAAAATTAATTTGTATTCAGTTCCCTTTTTCCTAGGGCAGTATTTTTTTTTTAATATTTGTAGTTTTAATTATTTTTTTAAGTTTATTTATTTTGAGAGAGACAGTATGAGCGGGGGAGGGCAGAGAGAGGAGGAAGAGAGAATCCAAAGCAGGCTCCACGCTGTCAGCACAGACCCCGACATGGGGCTCAAACCCCCAAAACAGCGAGATCATGACCTGAGCTGAAACCGAGAGTCAGATGCTTAACTGACTGAGCCACCCAGGAGCCCCCTAGGGCAGTTTTCTTTAATTGGTTCTTTAGTAGTATAAATAGCATTGTGGCAACTTACCAGCATTGACCTGACAATTGAGTCTCACTGGCCAGCTTGCCATCTTGAAATTAAAAATAAATGGGACTGTATGGATCAACATAGAGAATTTTGCTATATAAGAAATCCAGAGGTCAGGATAACAAGAGAATAATTACTTTTTAATGTTTTATGCTTAAAATTTAGCCAAGTTAATAAAAATTGAGGGATCTTACCAATTCTGTAAATGCTTTTGTCTTGTTACGCTATATGAAGTGAAAGCTTCAGGTTGCTTTTCTAGGTCTTTTAAAAATTAAATTCAAGTTTTTATTTTGCTTCAGGTGCAGAAAATGTAGAACGAGTTCTGGTTACTGTTATCCAAGGAGCAGTCGAATATCCAGATCCAATTGCCCAGAAAACGTGTTTTATCATCCTCTCCAAGTTGGTAGAACTCTGGGGTAAGATGATTAAAGCAAAACAAAACACTTCATTCCACAGCTTGTTTCCTAAGACTCTTAGAGATGAAGTGGAACCCCAGCTATATCATGGACGAGAGCTGGGAGTTGATTTTCCCCTCATGATAGTTGACTTTCTTTTTATGCAAGATGAACATTTGACTTTTCTTGACAGGAGGTAAAGATGGACCAGTGGGATTTGCTGATTTTGTTTATAAGCACATTGTCCCTGCCTGTTTCCTAGCACCTTTAAAACAGACCTTTGACCTGGCAGATGCACAAACAGTATTGGTAAGCACCTCAGAATCTTTGTTCACCTTGTGTACATCTCATGTATTCTAATTCACAGTTTACTTAATGCCAGATTGACTCTATTAGTCTCATTGGCCCACCCCCACCTTTTTTTAAATTTCAAATTAGGATTCACTTTTAAAAGGTTGATCTCTTCTGGATCTTTTGTGGGTTCTTACTGAATCCTGATACTGAAGTTTAGAATATAAAATCCAGCTCCTTCAACTTTAACAGTCCTTTTTCAAGGACTGTGAAAGGATACATTATATAAACATTCTTTAAAGCTTGGTTAAGTTATACTTTTCCACTGCTTTCATTCTAAACCTTGCTCTTAATGGTATTTTCCTAACCATTAAAAGTAACTTTCTCTTGCTCAAGTAATAGTTTCCCTAGCTCTTACTTTCAAAATACTTAATTTCAAGCAGTGCCCTTTAACCATTTCCCCAAAACCTAGTAAAAGCTAGTTTTTGTCATTTGATTTACTGCATTAAGACAGCATTTTTGTATTTTTTCCCTTTTTCTCTCCAACCCACTTACTCCACATGCTGGTCACCTTCCTTCCTCTGTCTCTTGTTTGGAAGTAATTGTTAATGAGCAGTGGCCAGGGAAATAAAAAGACAAGTGGGATCACTAACCAAAAATTGACTGTATTAAAATTCTCAACCTTGTTGTTCATAGGCTTTGTCTGAATGTGCGGTGACATTGAAAACAATTCATCTCAAACGGGTAAGCTTTGTACTCCATGCCCCTTCATTTTCATCTTACACATAGATTTGTTAACATTTTGGGATTTTTTTTTTTTTATTTTTATTTTTTTAGAAAAGCACAAGCGGGACAGGGGCAGGGGAGAGAGAGAGAATCTCAAGCAGGCCCCACGCTTAGTGCTGAGCCCAACATAGGGCTTGATTCCACAAGCTGGCATCATGACCTGAGCCTAAATCAAGAGTTGGACACGAGCCCCCCAGGCACTCTGCCAAGCACTATTCAAAAGCTTTATATTTCTTAACTCATCCACTCCTCACAATAACTTCCATTTTTCATATGGGAAAACTGAGGTTCAGAGAGGTTAAGTAACCTCAAGTTACTAGAAATTTGCCAGAGTCGGACTTCAAACCAAAGCAGTCTGACTCCAGACTCTCTGTTCTTAATCACAATGCCATATTGTGTTTGAAGTATACATGTGTTGTTCTAATTCATTTTTATGCATTATTTTAATATCAAGAAAATAATTGAGTTCTAATTATCTTAATTTTTAGGGCCCAGAATGTGTTCAGTATCTTCAACAAGAATACCTGCCTTCCTTGCAAGTAGCTCCAGAGATAATTCAGGTAAGAGTTGTCCCAGCAGATTCCTTTTAATTTAATTAAAGAAATATGACTGTGTAGTTCAGTTTATATTTGGATTCAAGAAAGTCAAGCTGCATTCAACTTGTTGTTTTACTGTATACAGGATAGTAAGAGTTGAAACTTTGGGGGTATGTGAAACTGAATGGGAAAAAATTGTATTTTTATTTTCACTAAACTTTAACCAGAAATTTAATTTCCTACCATGGTGTAGGTGACAGATCATAATACCATTCCCATTGCCTGTGACTTTGTCCCCGGTAGAAATCACAGATGTTTTCGTTTCACATTAGTTGTTCCAGGAATCTCAAAATACTGTGTACGCTCCAAGATTTTGAAATTTTAAGTTAAGATAACACCCCTAGACCTTGTTGTCTCAGTCAGCATCTCTTAACTGTTCCACCACATATCAAAAATATTTTTGATAACCAGAAGTCATTATAATTAGTTTCCTTTCTAATCCCATGTGTTATAAATGTATATATTTTTTAAATTTTTTTAATGTTTATTTATTTTTGAGAGAGAGAAAGAGAGGCAGAACGTGAGCAGGGGAGGGGCAGAGAGAGGGAGACACAGAATCTGAAGCAGGCTGCAGGCTCTGAGCTGTCAGCACAGAGCCCGATGAGGAGTTTGAACTCACAGACCGTGAGATCATGACCTGAGCTGAAGTCAGACGCTTAACCAACTGAGACACCCCGTATTTTAAAAAAAACATTCTAGGGGTGCCTGGATGGCTCAGTTGGCTAAGTGTCCAACTCTTGATTTTAACCCAGGTCATGATCTCCTGGTTCCTGGGTTCGAGCCCCACATCGGGCTCCATGCTGACAGTGTGGAGCCTGCTTGAGATTCTCTCTCTCTGCCCCTCACCCCCGCTCAAAATGAATTAAAAACAAAAACACAATGCTTTAAAAAAAAAAAAAACAAAAAACTAAAAGTCCAGTGGGCTCCCCAGACTGCCAAAGGGCACCCTAGCACACAAACCTGTTCTGAAGATTTGTGCTGGGTGGTTCATTTTACATGTGCCAAGCTTATCAATGCTTAATTTTTAAAATCTGAAACTGTATTTTGAAGTAAGTATCTGGAATGCAGTCTTACATTTTTATATATTACAAAGTAATTTTTATAATGGTATTCAGTTATTTTCTTGGCATGTAGTTACCCCAACTTACCTCGTAGCACATAGGTCTAATTGAGGTATCAGAGTTTTGATTACAACTAGAGTTAGACTCTCTTGAAGGGATTCTAAGAATTGTTCCTTCAGCAACAGTGTTTTTTAAAAGTTTTAGGGGCGCTTGGGTGGCTCAGTTGGTTGAGTGTCCGACTTCGGCTCAGGTCACGATCTCGAGGTCCGTGAGTTCGAGCCCCGCATCGGGCTCTGTGCAGACAGCTCAGAGCCTGGAGCCTGCTTCGGAATCTGTGTCTCCCTCTCTCTCTGACCCTCCCCCATTCATGCTCTGTCTCTCTCTGTCTCAAAAATAAATAAACGTTTAAAAAAAATTTTTTTTAAGTTTTTATCATGCTATTTTATGAAAGGCATTGAAAAAATTGAATGAAAAATAGGATAGATCTCACATAAGAGTAATCATTAATGAATTTATGGTCTCATTTCATAACATGCTATCTTTAACTTTAGAGGTATTAATGAATTTTCTTAGCTATAACTTGTTATATAAGTATAAGGTAATGTTTTAATGAAAGCAGTGACCTTCTTGCACATCAAAAATAGAAATATACCAGGTTAAGTAAAGGAAAACTATATTCTGTCTAATAATTTGATCACAGAAGATAAGCATCCCCAGTTTTCCTTTTTTTTCATATGTCTCATGACAACACTTTTTCAGAATTCTGTTAGAGCGCCTTAACTCTTTTTCTTTTGGTCTAGCTCTGCTCAGTTACTGCTCTTACTGGGTGAGAACAGCCACAGCAATGCAGTTTTTGTCCCACTCTCCCTTCTCAGGCGTGAGTCAATCTTGTGGGAGAACCATGTTCTCAAAAGTGAAAGCAGTCTCTGAAAAGTATCACATTTGAAACGCCATAGAACCTTTTTTGCTGAGGACCTGTTAAGTTATCCGACTACTGTAGATTTGAAGCACCTTATGACCGATGACTAGATGAGTAAAATGTGGTATTTACATACAATTGAATACTATTCAGTCGTAAAGGAAGGAAATCCTGTCACATGCCACAGTCTTGAGGGAGCCTTGAGAACATTCTGCTAAACGAAATAAGCCAGTCACAAAAAGATAAATACTGCATAATTTCACTTACATGAAGTACCTAAAGTAGTCCAACTCTCAGAAACAGAAAGTAGAATGGTGGTGGCCAGGGGCTTGGTAAGGAAAGAAAGGGGGAGTTGATGTCCAGTGAGTATAGAATTTCAATTCTGCAAGATGAAAAGTTCCAGAGGTCTGCTGCACAACAGTGTGCAGAGAGTTAATGCTAATGTATAGCATTATGGTGGTTAAGATGCTCAGTTATATGGATTTTTTAAATCACAGTTTAAAAAAGAAAACTGTGGATTTGATTTACAGTGAATTTAATACAACTACATTCATTCTCTCTCTCTCTCTCTCTCTCTCTCTCTCCCCTCCCATCTGGGCCCCCCAGGAGTTTTGTCAAGCGCTTCAGCAGCCTGATGCTAAAGTTTTTAAAAATTACTTAAAGGTAGGTATTTGGAAAACTTACACATATTCATATCATAAGGTAATATTTTAGAGCTGAGAGAATACATATTACAGGATACTGTGTCATACTGTAGTCTTACCAGTTATTACTTGTTTGGGGATTTCTTTGTTCTGAAACCGACTTCCAAAAACATGAGGTTTTGGATGTTAATACTTCAGAGTTTTCTATAAAGTCCCTTTCAACTAAGCTCTTAGAAAAGATCATAAAAAGTGAGGTAAGCACACTGTGTATATGCTTGAACGCACTATGAAAATGCCAGTTTCCTTTTTATAGTGTGTGATGTAATTAGATAGGAGCTACAGGATTGGGACAAGTCATGTTTAAGAACATGTGCCCCCAGGGTGCCTGGGTGGCCCAGGAGTGTTCAACTCCTGACTTCGGTTCAGGTCACGATCTCACATTTCATGAGTTCGAATCCCGCATTGGGCTCTGCGCTGATAGCATGGAGCCTGCTTGGGATGCACACTCTCTGTCTCTCTCTCTCTCTCAAAATAAATATATTATAAAAAAAAAAAAAAAAGGAACATGTGACCCTATTGAAATGAAAGAAAGGAACTAAAAATATAAAAACAGAAGTTAGAATTACTTGGTGTATCTTATTTTGAAACTTCTGAGTTTCAAACTTCTGAGTTCAAATCAGAGAACAAACTCTCTGATTTGGCAGTCAAGGCTCTTTTCACATTCATAAAATGAGTGAATTTTTTAAAAAACACGCCAAGTTGGCAAGAAGTACCAAATGCTTATTTGGCATTCATATTGACAATTTAAATTTGTAAGGCAGAACTGTCTTGCTGTCACCCAGGTAGTCATTCAGTACTGCATCATGACTTTTCACGTAACAGGTACTGTGCTAACTGCTGCAGATATCTGTACGAGTGACTTCTCTTGCCTATAAAGAGCTTGTGCTCTGGAAATAAAATTCCAGTGTGACAGGATGAAGACGTGTTCTTTATTTTTATTGCCTTCATTCAGAAAATTGGAGAGCAGAACACTATGCTAAATATGTTAGTAGCAAGTGACTTAATGAATGGCTACCAGGTTTTTTTTGTCCGAGGCATTCAGTAAAATTCCTAAGTCAGGGCCTTTGCTGAGGAAGTAAAGTGTGTCATGCTTGGGCTCCGGTTATAACATCTTCCCTTGCCAGTTTTTTCCCTAGTAGTGGTCTGTCAGCTTAAACTGACGAGAGTTTTGTAAGAAGATGATTGGGAGCTACTGGTTATCATTGGGAACCCTCCCCACTCCCATGTCCCTGTAAAAAGCAAAGTGCCTGTAGAGGTAATCTCTGTTAAATAACTGATCAAACTGGATAAAAGGACTAAAACAAATTGTAACTGGCTATTAAAGGTATCTGTAAGCAGATGCAGGTACAGTGGCAGGCTTGTGCTCCAAAAATACTAATTCATGCAGCTGCATTTATACAAAGTCTGCTCCCAAGCCCAGCATCTCTTCAGTGCAAGCATTATCTCTGGGAGAGCACTGTTCTTGTTGGGAAAAGTGGATTCCTTCTTGTGTGCCTACTCTCTTTAGGTGTGATTGATCCTCATATCTTATAGATTCTCTCCTCCTCACTCTCACTTTGTCTCCCCTGCTGCTACTCCAGTATGTGTTTGTTACCTCACACTGATCTCCCTTCCCTTGTAGCCAAGCCTATTTGAAACACTGAATAGTCCCCTGAAATCCATTCCCCTCATTCTTCATAAACCATATAGTTGACTACAAAACACGTTCGTGTTTCTTAGTTTGACATTCAGGCTTTTTGTTTTTTTATTTTGTTTTCTTATATTCTGATCTCAGACTGTCTTTCTAGTTTCTCTTGCAGGAGTGGTCTTTGCTATTCTTCAACAGTTCTGCCTTATTAGCAACCCTCATTTATGAATTCTACCCATTTTTTTAGGCTTACCTCAAGCATGGCCTCTTTATAAGGCTCTGTTTTGCTCATATACCAATCCTTCTCTTCACTTAGTCAATAGATTTGTTCGATGAATGCCCAATCTGGTAGGTGCTAAGGATGCAGTGATGACTACAGTCCTTATCCTTAGTGAGTTTGCTGCCTATTTAGTCTGTCTAGTGCTCACTTAGCATGTACCTGACTGTGGAATATGGAAGGTAGTATGTACTATTGGGCCGGTCCCCAAAGCAGCCTCTAGCCTATTCATTCATTGTCTCCAATGGTGAATTGCAAGTATTGTTTTATAATCCAATGAATAATAAATTCCTTAAGGGATAACAGCTGTTATCTTTAGCTGATGTGTTTATTTCTTCCTAAGAAGTTAATTTCCCAGCGTTGCCTTTGACAGTGTGCCAGTCAGCAAACGGTGTCCGAGCATGTTTTCTTCCGCACACTTGATTCTCCTAGCCTTAGAGTTCATACCATAGTTTCACTAATTTCCCGGCCAACGTCAACATAAGTTACCACTAGATTTGGTCACATTGTCCAGAAAAAAAGTTCTTGTACCATGTGTGGATTTATGAAGCATGTAAAATGTTCTGAGTATTGACTGTATTTCGTAAAAGAGTGACTGGCCTTACTGAGTTGGAGCCATTCTTCACGTGATACCTTCTGACACCAGTGCTAATTGTACTGATACTTTATTTCCAGGTATTCTTCCAGAGAGCAAAGCCCTAAGGACTGGATCTCCCTGTGCCTACTTTATGATCAAGAATTCCAGTTAATAATTTATAAAGAAGCAGTTTTTGTGTGCCATTCACACTGGTCTTTTTAACATTGCTTTAAGCTTATTGCAGTATATGTATTGGAACTTTTCCTGTAAAATGGGTGTAATTTTCTCTGAATACAGGTATGTGACAACAAGAGAAGTTGCTTGCATGCCAGTTCAAATTGTTCTATATAAAAATGCTGTTAAAAGATACAGCACGGTTATCTTAGTACCCCCCCTTTTTTTTTTTACTGGAAATGTTAAATCCTTTATAAAGACCACATAGCAGGAAAACAGTGTACTTTTTTTCAATTGCTAAATATGTTTGAACATGTTAATTTCCTTTTATGTGTGCAGACTCCAAATATGGGGAGAATACAACAAATCAAAACTAACTTTTTGTAGATAGCCATTACATTTCTTTAAACTGTTTCGATGCCAATGTGTGTTCTACAAAAGAGAATGGTTTCATAAATTAACTGATTTAAGAGTAGGTGTCAGTGTTACACACTTTTTATAAAAAAAAATAAATTTTACGTAGTGAAATCTACCATGTCTTTTTTGGAATTATTATAAATAGTCTTATTTTCTTATCTCTCCCTGATTTCCCATTTAAAGATTGCACATTTAGGCTTATGGATGATTATTTATGCTCTCAAAACATTATATGCAACATAGTTCTGTTGGACTCTTTTTTTGTTTGTTTTTATATTCCTTATTTTGAGAGAGGGAAAATGAGTTTAGGAGGGGCAGAGAGAGAAGGAGAGAGAGAATGCCAAGCAGGCCCTTCATGGTCAACATGGGAGTCCATTGTGGGGCTTGAACTCACAAACCCTGAGCTGAAATCAAGAGTTGGTTACTTAACCGATGGAGCCATCCAGGTGCCTCTGTTAGACTTTTTTTTAAGATGCTAGAAAAAGCATGTTTCAATCTGTCAATAGAATTTAAATCCAATTTCCCCCTCCTTTATTGGATTTACTTAGGACACTATACCTATGTGTTAATGAGGCTTACGAGTAGCTGCCCATTTAGTTACTAAAAGTACTTACCGCTGTTTTTATTCATGGCTATGCAAGAAAGCAAGAGGAAAAGTATCAGTAAGTAGTATTGGAAAACTAAGAAAGGAGGGACAAACTGAACAGGAGAATTAAATTGCTGTAGTCATATAAGTTTAAATTCTAAAAGCCTAAGGAAGATTTTAGGGGATTGGTGGTTTGGTTTTTCTTTTCAAACTTTGGCCCATGTGGTTCCCCTATGGGTTTCACGATGGGCTTCAGTGTGGTCTATAAACTCCCTTAAACTATTCTGAATGGTATACGTAAATCTTTTTCTAGGGTTAATTCCATAAGTGATTTTAAACATTTTCCTTCATCATAGGACAAAGGTACTAAAGTAAATTAACAGTTGTCAGAATAGATCAGTGAAATGTATATTTCAATAAAAATATCTTCAAAAGTAGATAAGTGAGGGGCACCTGGCTGGCTCAATCATATAGAGCATATGACTCTTGATCTCATGGTCATGAGTTCAAACCCCATGTTGGGCATAGAGATTACTTAAAAAAAAAATACATAAAAGTTAAAAAGTGAAAGCTTGAGTGTTTCATTGATAAGCTTTCCTATATGGTGGGAAAGACCATTGGCATCTGTTATCAGCACTAATTTTTCAAAGTACTAACAAGTCACATAGTGTAGTGGTTAAGAGTTAAGACAGGTTCCAGATCCAGAGTAAGTAGGTTCAGGTAACAGTTCTGCCAGTCACTGGTTTTTAGAAGTTTAAGCAAGTTAAATTTCTCCCTACCCCAGTTTTTGCATCTGTGAAAGTGTGAAATGAGCTTATGGTACCTGCTCATGAAGGCTTCATGCTAGCTATGGCCACTGTACTATTAGTTCCGTATATGTGAAGGTGACACCTCTTTTTCCCCTGTCTCTTTAAAGCCCTTCAAAAGATTCACGTGTGTTCAGAGCCAAGCAAAATCAAGACATGGAAATTAAGAGTCTGCAACAGAAGTTAAACTTCATGTTCTATAATCATGTATAATAATTCCCATTTTTTCCCTGAAGTTATCCAGAGCACTTTATGTAGGGAGTACCATAGCAATTAGGCACCTCTGCTTCATCATGAATTACCTTATTTGTAGTTTCCAAAAACAAGCACCCAAATAATTGTCACAAGAGTGAATCTCACCTCTTAACAGATGGGGTCATTGAGCCAAAAGACAGATTTGTGTGACTTGACTACAGAACCACAAGGATTTTAAGACACCTGGTCTAGTTCTGTGCCTAACAGTTTATTTAAAGTCTTAAATTTAGTTAACCATAAGCTGGCTCACTTAATACTATTGTATATCAATATGCATCACTTATGTGTTAAATATGTGAATCAAGGCCTTTGGCTCAGCTAATCACATTTTCTCCCATAAAACTTTTGAGCTGTGGGTTTTACTGTTGTAAGGAACCTGAACAGGTCCCCTTCTTGTCATTAGATACAAGAGAACTGAAATTGGTTGCAATTGTAAGCAATAAACATTTGTTGGAATGGTTCCATGACTTAAGCATTGTTTAAAAGTCTAATAAAGTAATTTCCTTTGTAATAACGCATTACTGTGGGCTTTTGTTATCTCCATTGTGCAAAGGACACAACTGACTTGGAAAAACATGCTTAGAGTCAGTATTTGGTGGGGAGCGTGGAGACTGCGACCCCAGATCTGTTCCATTCAAAAGACCCTGCTCTTCACCACTCTGCCTTGGTTTCCTATTTCATTCCCGGTTGCCGTAGTTCTCATCTGGGAAGAATCCTTTTTCTTCCCCTCTCTCAGAAGTTTAGCCCTGGATCATCAGGAGTCTCTGTGGCCTCTCCATCTGTTGAGAAAGGCTGCGATGCAGTCAGCTGGCAGAGGGGATCACTCTTTAGGGAACAGCTGCTTCAGATCTTGGAGGCACGAATATTCAGGACCCGATTTTAACCGAGTTCTCCAATACTGCCAATTTCCAAAATATATCGCCATTTTCCAAAATACCGCCTAAAGAGAGAATGAAGACATTGCGGACTCCCTCACCCCACAACGCCAAATATATAAGAAGTGAGCTCATTTACACTAAGAATTACGTCCGGATTATTCTGAGGCGATCACGGGGCTCCACGGCGGCCTACGGTCTTTAAAGCGGCTCCAGATCGATCCCTCCAGACGATGATATTCCCCAGTGACAGCCTCTCTCGTGTCCAGCAGTCTGCACACCTGTGACTCTTTGTTTGCGATCGGGAGTTCGCTGTTTGTGTTCCCTACTACCACCGCACGCCGCACTCTGCCGTTGGCTCTCGAGAACTGGGCGGGATTTGCAGTTGTGGGAATCTGAAACTGCTCACTGCGCAGGGCCCCCCCCCGCCCCCGGCTTCACCCGGAAAGCAAGGGGGGACAAGCAGAGGGTGTGGACCGGCTCGGACTCCAGACAGCCACCGGCCTCCCCACCCCTCGCTAGAAAGGCTCGGGAAGCCAGCCGCCGCACCAGACACACAGCACAGCACCAGCGTCACGCCGCCGAGGCCGGGGCCGGTCCGGCGGGCGTGCGCACGCGCACCGGCGCGCGCCGGCCGTCGGTCACGTGGCCCGCGGCCAGGGCTGGCGAAGCCGGAAGTGTCCCGAGGCGTAAGGAGGCCGCGGGAGCCCGCTGGCGGTGGCGCGACGGAGACCGGGCGCGGTAAGTGGGGCGGTGCGGGCGGAGGGGCCGAGCCGCGCGGGGCACGGGTAGCGAGGTGGGCACGGGCTCGCGCCGAGCGCTTCCGCCCCCTGTGGGCAGGGGGGATGCTGAGTCAGAGCGGGGGCGGGGCGGGCGACCCGACAAGCCCTGCACGACCCGAGGCCGGCCCTCCCCGGACCTCGACTAGGTGGACGCCCCCCCGCCCCCGGGTGTCTGGGGCGTCCGAAACCCGGTGGAATGGTCGCGCGGGCCCGGTCCCTTCCATCTCTACTCCTCGCCCCCTGGCCGGCCCTCTGACCGGGGCCCTCCCGGGTCAGCGTGTAGCGACGTTGGGCAGGAAGAAAGAGGCCGTGCCCGTTACCGGGTCTGGGCCCTGGCCGCGCTGCAGAGACGGATTCCTCTTTTCCTTGGAGTTGGACCGCTTCTACCCCTCTTTATGAGCGTTGACACGATCGTCACCGTTTGAATGGATTGAATTTTTAGATGATTAAAAAGAGACGTTTCGTTTGGGTTTTAGTGATGATGACGGCGGGGATTGACTAACCGGAAGCTGGAAGCAGACGTTTATTAATATATACACCTATAATGTAAATTCCCAAACATTCCCTTTGGGAAATGCCTTACGGGATTGTTTTCCAGTCCGTTTCCCAGGTGTTTTTCAGTAGGTGGCCTCAAAACAAGGTCTACCCGTTAACTGTCCAGTACATAACCAAAAACCGAGTGTTGTTGGTTTTTTGTTTTTTGTTTTCCACTCTAGAACGCTGAATTATTTAACATAGTGGTTGAGTTTGAAAATCCTTGAACTTTGTCCGCATGCCTGTCACCAAACCTGTTCTCATCTATGGACGAATAATAACTTTCGTTTTTGCACGGTGTAAGGAAGTAGGCTTAAGGCAGAGTCACTAGTAACATACTTGTTGAGTGCTTGCCTGTCGTGTATCAAGATTTATAAAGCATACACCTTGTGGATGTGCTGAGTCATGTTTTAGCATGCTGTTATTGTGGGTTTATTGGAAAGTAGTCACCAAACTCATTTCCCCCTGATGATTGTGAAACTAGTCTGCTATCTTCGTGTAGAGAAGCAGATATCTGAGCTGATCAATGTGTTTATATTTATTCACTAGGTACATATAGGTACCTAACGACACTGTTTTCCATTACAGTTATCTCAGCACAGTTACAGCAATTAGGGAAGGGTTTTCATTATTGACAAGTATTTGTAAATATTGAAAAGATAGTTGAGGAGTTTATTGTTATTACCTCAGCTGACAAAGGTGTATCCCTTACTTGTAAAAAACGAATCTTATTTTTATTGCTTATTTGCAATGAAGTGCTGTATATAACATTCCTTATCTGAATTAGATGGGTGGTAAAATTATATATCTTAGTATCAAAGATCGTTGAAAATTGGCCATTCTTTATGTTCCTAATCCTTGGAATATTGGCAGTCATTAGTTCATCACCGAATTCTAAAGGAGTTCAGAGGGGTATTAAGATCTGTTTTGATCTGATATTACAGCAGATTTAAGGTGGCATGGTGAGACTAGGGTTTATGTTACTTAGCATACCTGATTTTTATTCCAACGGGGAGCTCAAATATTTTAATATCCTTATATAGCTTTCCAGTATTAAAGGACAAGGCTAGGGGTGATGCTTTTTTCTTAAGTCAACTTTTTAGAGCAGTTTTAGGTTTATGGCAAAATTAAGCAGAAGGTACAGAGATTTTACTTAATATATAATAGCCTGCACTTGCATGCATAGATAGCTTCCACTTGCTCATTTTTTAAGACTCAGTAATATACACTTAATATGTGTCTGTTTTTATACTTGGAGATTGGAGAAACTGTCCTTT